TTGATACAAGAATTCAATAACATTCTGGATATTGGTTGTTTTCCATATTATTTCGAGGGACTATATTTAATTGATATGAAACTATTAAAACGATTTAATCGCAAAGAAGAAGAAAAAATGATTAAGAAAAGTGTTAAACTTGATCCATTTTAGCTTTATAAACTCTTTGTTAATCTCTCAATTCAAGATTTTTATCGCCAAATTTGAACCAAAACTTCATACATTGTAAATAAAAGAAAATATTAATTTCATTTGTAAAAGACCATCTTTTCCTATACATTCCTGATTCAATTAGATAATCACTAAGCAAGATTTCATAATCAAAAGAAAAAAGTCATTACTCGTTATATCATGCTTCTTTAAGTGTAACTATCACAAACAGATAAGAGTAAATTAATGGCAGAGGATGAAAAAAAATTATAGGAGGGACTTCGTCACTGACATAAATCATCTTTGAAATATCGAATTTTCCGAAAAAACAAATGTCTTCAATCGATAATTCAAACACAAAACTGAATGAACAAAAAAAAACTAAATTTTCTATTTTTCCTCATAAATATTCAAGTAACTCTGACGACATCTTTTCAATATTATAATTGATTTTATCGGCTGACAAATCAAATCATACTATATGTCTGTCTATCATCATCTCACGTGTATGTAGTAGAAATTTTATTTTCAGATAAAACTAAATAATACAAATGGCACTTTATCAAAAAACGTAATAGAAAAACAAACAAAATCTATTTTCTATAAAAAACAAATAATCTTTTATTTTGACTTAAATAGAATTGAAAATTTTGAAACATTACTTAAATGTGATATAATCGATTTACAAAAACTCAAAACTCTTGCATTTAATGGTAAATTTTTAAATTGAATATATTCATATTAAATAATTATTTTCTCTTCTAGGTTGTCCAACTGATAATGGTATGCGTAGTTTAACATGGAAGGTAAATAAAAGAAATAGAAAAATAAAAATAAATCGAAATATTTTCTAGATTCTACTTAATTATCTGTTACTTGATCGAACAAAATGGGCATCACATTTAGCTAAACAACGGTAAAACAGTAAAAAAAAAACAGAAAAATAATTTACTGAAGAAATGAATGTTTTAGTGAATTATATCGTGGTTATATCCGAGAAATTATTATAAAACCTGGTCTTAAATCAACATCTCATTCGGATATTGTTGATCATGTTAGTTATTTAACAAATAAAATATTTACTAATATTTATTTCAATATTTAGCCATTAAATTCTGCGCCAGATAGTTCATGGACAGCTTATTTTAAAGAAAATGAAATTTTACTACAAATTGATAAAGATGTTCGGTTAGATTTTAAAAATTGAAATTTTATTTTCTATTGATTTTGTTTTTGAAATTAGACGACTATGTCCTGATTTATGTTTTTTTCAACGTAAAACTGATTATCCATGTGCTGAAATAATGAATCAAGAAATTGGTTTTGAAAGTTTACGTAAACGTATTGTATCAACATCACTTAAAGTTGAATCACAATCTCAATCACGTTTAACTGGTCGATTAGAATTTCAATCAAATAAAACATTACGTCAAAAGAAAAATAATTCATCGAATTTAATATCTGATGATGATGAATATGAAGTACTAGCTGATGGATGTGAAGCACATTGGGAAGTTGTTGAAAGAATTTTATTTGTTTTTTCAAAACTTAATACCGGACAAAGTTATGTACAAGGAATGAATGAAATTATTGGACCTATTTATTATACATTTGCTACTGATCCTAACGTAGAATGGAGAGGTAAGATTGAAAAACAATATGCTTCCGAAAGAGGGAATCACTCGAAGTGATACGTCGCGTTGGAGATGAAACCTCAGTGATTATGCAGGGTCTATTGAGACTAGAAAAACTCTTTCCCATGCTCTACCCTTTTGTTTTAAAAGATTCTAATGACTTCGAAAATTGTAGGCCGAAATTCGTTTCTCGGGTTTTCTTTTTATAGATATCGCGTGAAAGATAAATATCTAGTCTAACGATCATAACTCCAAAAGGATAATGCATGGTGAAGAACCCTTCTACTCTCAGCAGGCTCTATGTAGTGACTTGGATCTCATCTCTAGTGGTGCCCTTCCTAAGTGAAACTATAGGTACTTTGCCAAGAGCTCTTTTCTATAGAAAACAAGTTTTGGTCAAAAAGTCAATTTTGCAAAAATGAGAATTGAAGTGAACCGAAAATTAAAGCGACCTGCAGAAGAATCAAAAAAAGCTTCGATTGCGTAGCTTCTGCTCTACAAGTTTGTATATTAATAGAGGTTTCAATAGTTATTTTCGAATCGCAATACTGAAAATATAAAAGTGTACGAAAAAGTTTTCCGACCAAACTATTAATCATCTTACTGGTTTCAAGAAAACTTCTAAGTCTACATTCAGAAAGAGTACAAAATTCTGGTCATAATCCATAACTTTTGATTTCTTGGAAACAGCTTAAAAAAACGAACATATCTTATAGAGCAAACTATTTTCTAAAACCTCATTTCCTTTTTGTGTATTTACTCAATCGTCTTGACTATTTAGAAAATAGTTCTATTTTCATAATAAATCCGTTTCTCAATTCAAGATACTTCTCTTTTTGTAGAGAAATGTTAAACCTATCTTGTACTTTTTAGTTTTATTGCAAAAACGTTTTGAAAAAAGTATCTGATGTTTAATCTTTTTGTCTCATAATTTGACCACAAATAGAATATGTTGAACTCTAATCGCTAGAGCTCAATCAACCTTCATATGGAGAAGCTAGAAAGTCAGCATAGGAAATAAATCTTATCATGTTAACTCCTTCAGTGCGGTCTCTATCAAGAATGAAAATGTCATGTCAAATGGATTTAGTTTACCTGATTTATGAGGTAATCTCTACATGAGAATTGATGGGAACCGTCGAAACCCGATCGATAGCTCTGATCCATGCTCAAACTGTCACGCAGAATGAGGTTTCATCGCAGCGGATTCAAGTATCCTATCTGTAAGATAATATAGATATTCGAACTTTTATTTATTAATAACTAAATGATGAAAGTTAACGCATTTAAATAGTGAAAAACCAGAAAAATATTTAAGAAAAGTTTTTTTTTGAACTCTAAGTAAAGGACTCAGTGTTTTCATCGGTAAGTCCTTTGTATTAGGCTCTATCGACCTCGAGTTTGCTGCTTGCAATCAGGTTTTACCGAGCTCCATCATATGTTCGTATGATAAGACAGAAGCTTTTCTCAACATCATTTGCATTGTAAAATTCAGTAATCACATATTTTCGAAAAAAGAAAATTTAAGGTGAATCATTTTCATTTGTTTTTAGAATATGCCGAAGCAGATACATTTTATTGTTTTACAAATTTAATGATACATATTCGAGATAATTTCATGAAAGTCTATGATAACTCTGAATTTGGTATTCGTGTACGTATGCAAAAATATTTAAATTTATTAAAAGAAACTGCTAATGATATATATGATTTATTTGAAGAACAAAATTTAAAACCTGAATTTTATGCATTTCGTTGGTTAACATTATTACTTTCACAAGAATTTCATTTACCAGATGTTTTACGTATATGGGATTCATTATTTGCAGATCAAGAAGAAAATTTTGAATTTTTATTTTATATTTGTTGTGCTATGGTTATGTATGTACAGATAGTTTTTAAAACTAAAAACAAATTTTGTTTTTATATTATAGTCTACAACGAAATCAACTTTTAACTGGATCCCAATCGCAAAATATTAAATTATTACAAGTTTGTTTATATTAAATAAAAACTTGTTTTTTTTTTGTTCATTGAAGATTTATTTTTAGAACTATCCACCAGATACAGATGTACATAAAATTCTAGAAAAGGCAGCTGAACTTAAACGTACTCATATTTTTTGAAGAATTTATATTGTTGAAATTTACGACGTACTAATGCATCTGTTCAGATAACGAAAAATGTTTGAATTCCATTTATTTCCATATAATCTAGTATATTTCAATAAAAAAATAGATTTCGTGTGTGCAATATGACAGATTTTCTTTTCATTATTGAATGTGTTTATATTGTTCTTTTGTAATTCAGTAATTCATATTATTATTATTATTACTATTTTTCTTTTGTAATTTGATTTTTTCTGGGTAAGAAATTAAAATTTTTTTACATTTTATTAAATAATAAATTATTTATCTTAATAGAATTATATATAAAAGATATTTGTATTTATTTCTAGAATAGTATTCTAGTTTATTAAGTCGAATATCGATGACTAAACTAAAATGATAGATTATAATGTCGATTATTAAAAGATTTTGTAATGGATGAAAAATTATTCTTGAGAATAGAGCCTTGCATCGGACTACGACTTCGATTTCATCGGACTCGGAAAAAAATTCTTCGGAATCAAAATAATCATGAAGAATTTTTTCGGAGTCAATGCCGAACAAACATCATTAAAACAGTCAAGTACTGTGTTAATCTTATATGTTAACAAGTTTACTCGTCATATGTTACGCAATGAACAAAAGTACATTAATTAATAGATTAATTAATAATTTTTCAAGAAAAAAAGAAACCATTAGAGAGTTATTCTTATTAGCAAGTAGTACAAAAAGAAATATATATCTATGAGTTAAAAAAGAATTGTTTTTTTCCGGAGTCGAATTTGGGCTTTGGGTTCAAAAAAATTTGATTCCACAGAGCTTTACTCCTAAGGGGGAAAGCTGTTTGAATAATTGTTAAGATTATTAGATAAATAGATTAGTTTTAGAAATAAAGTTATTATGCTTTTTTCTTTTTGTTTGATGATTAAAAATAAATTATTCATGTATGATAATTTTAGATATACTGAAAGTCGGTTAATGAAATTGAATTTATTATCATATATAATCAAGAGAAAAACATAGAAAATTTTTATTATAATTATTTTAAATTTGGTTCCATTTGTCTAGTGATATTTTGGTGGTTTTTAATTATAAATTATATTATAAAATGACAACTGTTAAAGAAGCAAGAGAAAAATCTTTAGGTTTATATTTAATAAATTTAAATATTCTAGGAAGAAGATATATTTGAAATAGTTGATTATACAACTGCATCTGATTGGGAACGGTAAATAAAAAGAAGCAAAAAGTTGAATTTTACCAGAAGAATTTTTTAAAATTCATAGATTTATTGCAAGAATAGAAGAAATTCTTTCAGAATGGAAATTAAATGGTCCTGAAATATCGAATACAGAAGTTAGATAAATTATTTTCTAATAAAAAAAAAAAACTTTCTTTTCAATTCAAAATTATTAGGTCGATTTTGCTGATGGAGAATGGGCTGAACGTAATGAAGCACTTGAATTCGGAGATCGTTCTTATACAATCACTCATTTTTCATTACGAATACCTGGAACTACTTCATCATCATCAGCAGCAGCTGAAAATAATTCACAAATGACAACGTCTTCAACATTTGAAAAACAAACATGTAAGAATAATATACTATCAGATTGTTTGTTCAATTAATAGTATTTAGTCATTCCACCAAGAGCAATGGCTGATATGATGTCAAGACGAAATGATTTTCCATCTCGTTCTCCGTAAGTTTTCTTACTCACTTTCGACCATGTTTTAAGTAATTTTTTCAATGATTACTATTTACCGTGGTCCAGAATTTTTTTAATTTTTGTATCAAATACTAGAAAGTTCATTTCTCTATTCAACAATATACTTTCCATAAGTTTTATCTTTGTCTTTTCTATAAATTATTTGGTTTTTCATAAGTACGAATGAATCAAATTTTTGCCAGTAAAACTTAATTTTATTTAATATTTTCTGCAAGTTTAAACTTAATAAATATCTTCCATCTAAAGTAAACTTCATCATTAACGAGTTTGGTCTCGCTAAAATATGAGCATACAAAAATTTCGTTTCAGTACTTCTGCAAATTTATCAAATTATTGAACAATATGAAAACTATATGATTTGATAGAATCACTAATGTGCTATATCTAAAAATATCAAAATAAGAAAGTTCGGAGGTTTTGTCGAAATATAAAAATCTGAACAAATCTATCAAAAATAACGTAATGACACTCTACATCATCAATGAATTGATAGTAATTTATAATTTATTATTCGAAATTTATTTTTAGCTATTTATCGCATTGGTATGGTCTTCGAGAATTTTTAATTCTATCACCAAAACGTAATACTGATCCTATAACAGATGAAAGTCGAGCTAATCTTTTACTAAGTTCAACTGCTATTGCTGTTTCAAATGTTGGATGGTAAAAATAAAGAAAATTTTTATATCGAAACGAATCAATATTTACTTTATAGTAATGTACCAATATTTATTCGTGCTCAACATGAATGGCGTAACATGTTTATTGGTCTTTGTGAAGGATCAGGTCTTCGAACACATTTTAATATATGTTATTTAAAAAGTGCTCCTCATCAATATCGACATTTAGCTGGTCTATTAGAAATATTTAAATCAAAATTAGTAAAAATAATTTATTTTATTGTTTTTTTTTTTTATTTAATCTATTGAATTATTTCTTAGGGTTCGCAAATTCCAAATGATACAGTTATTATGGTTGCTGTTCGATTTACTTATGTATTAAGAGAATTCGAATCAACATCAAGTCGTCAAGCTTTACCTCAAGATGAAGCAGGCATGCCAATATTAACTAGTCTTCCATTTGGGTCGATTTGTGATCCAGTTAGGTATAGAAAAGAAAAGAAAAGAAACTTTTCATTAAATTATTTTTACTATTATGTATTATTTAGTGGTCTTCATCTTTCGTGTACATGGCCAATATTTTCTGAAGAAGTTGTTACTGAAAATGATGATTGTAATGACTTCGATCCATTACTTTCTCAACAATGGGCTATTGGTGTTACTTTATCAGAAGATTTACCTGCGTTATTGAGTGATGCAGTTCAAAAATATATAGCTTTATCGACAAAAAGAGAAACAATTGAACAATTATTAGGAAAAATTCAAAATGCTGATGGTAATTTAGATGTTATTTTAAAGATATTGAAAAATAAGGATATATGTTGAGAAGAGAAATATTTTAATGATTTTCAGGACGTCGGAAACAGTTTAAAATGTTACGTAAGAAAAAAAAAACATGAAAGAATAGAAAACAAACGCTTTGCTCAAGATTTGATATTTGTTTTACTTTGAAAAACTTGAAAATTTTTTTTTCTTTTTTTTTGTATTTAGAAACATCGAACAATTCAATGAATATGGCTGAGCCAATAAAAAGAATATCTGATAGTCGTACACAACAATATTGGACATCAATTTCATCTTCTATTTCGAATACAACAAATCGTTTACGTGTTAATATTTTTAATCCACCATTACCACCAAATGTTGTTGAAAAAACTACAGATGTAAATTTTTTAAAACATTTATTTTCTTTTTTGTTTCTAATAAAATATCATTTTATTTTAGTATCTTTTCAATGAACGTCCAACATTTGAAAGACGACGATCAATTGTTGATGAATTACCAAATGTAGAAGAAATCTTTTTAACATGAATTTTTATTTATCTCATCTATTTTAGGATACGGAACGAATACGTCAATTAAAATCAGTACCAAAAGATAGTTTTGTCTATCGTCTTGTTGTATGTTTTACTGCAATCTGTAGTTTACCGTCTATTAATCATTTACGTTCGATTGCTCATTTATGGTTTGATATTGTTCAAGAACTTCGTAGATATTGGGAAACAGGAAAATTAATTCCTGGGTAAATAAATCTTCTGTTCTTAAATGTATTTTAATTTGATTATTTAACAAAATATTTAGATTAGAATCTGGTTCACCAAATTTATCATTTTCAAAATTTTATCAAAATTTACAAATGCTTAATTGTTGTATTGAACATCGTTTACGGCATCAAAATGATACAACAAATATTGATAATCCAATAGAACAAGATGATGATGATGAGCAATTTTATGAATGTTCATCAAATATTTCACCGTCAAAATCAAATCAAACAGAATCACAACCCGAAGGTCGTCTTAAACCATATGGAGATTTAAAATTACTTCATACAAATGAAATTCTCTATGTTCCAATTACTCAGGTATTTCATGATTCAAAGAAAAGAGAATATATTTTGTGTACTTCTATATGATATATTATTGAAATTTTAAGGAATGCCCACCGGCAACAGAAGATATGCTTGATGAACAAACAATTGTATTAACTAGTTTGGGTTCTGGTGAAGATGCTACATTATTACGTGCAAAAATGCAAAGTCGATCACTTTTATCCGATATGGAAAGCTTTAAAGTAAAGTTATTTTTTGGTTATACAAAATTTAAAATCGAATTTAGTTTTAAATCTTTTCGAAGAGTAAAAGTTCAATAAGCTTCTATTGCGACTAACTTTTATGTAGTGTCACTAGAGCCCATCGAGTCCAAGAATTTCTGGATCTGGACGTGGTTGAGTTCAGGTAGGACCCGATCAGCTCTAATCCACATACTCATCTACCTCCAATACTCGGTGGATCATGGTGTGAATACGAATAGTGATATTTAATAAAATATTTTATATACGAAATTGTCGAGCTTTGGAGAAATTAGAAAGAAATTCTTATTATGATTTTACTGAATGACTTCATCATAGAAGCTTCTACAAAATTCAGAAGTAAAAAGAGATATATTTTAATTATCGTAACAGAAATATAAAATAAATCTCTGAATACGAAATAAGAATTTCTGATGTCTAAGAAATGGAGAGTTCAGATCTTATGAGTGTTATAAAAATCGATATGTTATCGTTTTACGCGAAGTTTGATTATCATGTTCGATAAATATTCACGTAGTTTCAACCAAGTATCGCTTATCTTTGTAAGAATCATTTTCTTACTGAGTTATATATAAACCCCTAAGAGGAAAAAGTCTAACAGAATGATATAATTGTATACCTAACTCCTAGTCCACTCCGATGGCTATCTACAAGTTATAAGTAGTCATACACATTTTTCAGTAAGAGATAGTTGCCTCTTGTTTCTGTGTTTTAAACTAATAATGATGCCGTATTTTAGGCAGCAAATCCATTAGGTACAATAGAAGATTTTGTACGATGGTATTCTCCACGAGATTGGATCGAAAATGAAGAAATTGACAATGATGGAAATATTCAAAAACATTATTCACTTAGTCCACGTATGCAATTACCAGATAATTTATGGGTAGAAGTATGGCAACAAGCACGTCCGATACCTGTTCGACGTCAAAAACGTTTATTTGATGATGGAAAAGAAGCAGAAAAAGTTTGATTAAAAATATTAAATTTTAATTTTAAATAAACTTTTTTTTTTACAAATAGATTCTTCAAAAATTCTCATCTTTATCACCTGGTGAAATTCTTGAACAATTAATACCAGTACTTTTACATACTATATATGATCGTATTGCTAAAGAGAGTAGGAAAATGTTTTAGTTGTTTCTTTTTAGTCTATAATTTGTTTCGATTTCTGTTTAGTTGAAGATACAGAAGTGCCAAATGCATCAGCTATTTTGGAAAATCTCTATGCAAAAGAAGTTCTTATTGTCAAAGGAAAAGATGAACGGAAAAAGAAATTACAACAAGTACTTTTTAAAAAACTTAAAATAACCGGTGGTGCAAGAGTTTCTCGAATTTTCGACCGATTACACGAGTCAGCAGAAAATTTGAAGTATTGGATTACAAACAGAATAAGTTTTGTGCTCTTTTCGAATATATGTGTTCGGAATTTTTGTAAGACTTCCTAGTTAGAAAATAGCATCTAAGGTAGAAGTTAAGTTTCTTACAAATACATTAAAATAGAGAGCAAATATTTCTGAGCAAAATGATATTCCTAATCATTAGTTTTCTTTGACGTTTCTATCAATAATAAGACTTTTAGTAAAAGAACACATTGACGTTTTCGACGGTTCTTAGTTCACGTTGTAGAAGCCTGTCTCACTCTTTACACTATGCAAAAAAGGCAACAAAAGGTACTCAGCAACGGTATTATTGCTGTGAAGAACATATATATTATCTATGTGCTAACCCAACAAATTTCAAAGCATGATGGTATAGAAGCAAAAGGCAGTGATACTAACAAAGAAACTTCCCCTACTGATCCATCGCTTTTTTAGTTGAAACTATTTGCAATCATGAAGGCCTTAATGGGTTGCGAATACTTCGAAAAACGTTCGGACGCATAGCTTATTACAATGGATATATATTGTATGTTTAAATACAATGCCATAGTACCCTCAGGAACACTGGGAAAAATTATTTTTGACTTGAGACTTGGCAGATAAACAAGCCTTGACGAAAATAGTTTATTGTGAAAGTTTCAGATATTTTTCATTGTTGCTATCTTACAATACAACCATAGTAAACGCATCTATTTTACATCGTTCATATACATCCGTAGATTCAATGCTCTTATTTCAGGGCAGGAACAGATCAAATGACTTGATGCTCTCACGATTAATTATTCTCGTTAAAGTTTGTTGGTATGCATAGTTTAGAGCCGAAATTCGAAAAATCAGTTTTCATAGTATGTCTGAGAGAGAGACGCTGGCATTCATTCAAAAAAATATCGTAGAAGTGCACTTTCTCTGCAATGATAAGCTAAAGATCTGAACTTGTTTTTATCATATTCGTAATCCATTAGGGTCTACATGATGCATATGCTTTCGGATCAAAAGCAATTAACCAGTTAGAGAACTTCTCTCGTATTCTAAATTGGCACTTTGTAACAAAAATAAGAAAGTACTGAGAAAAGTAGCACACAAATAACAGGATACGATCGTATTTGCCGTTTCTAGATCTGTAAGTTCAACTGCTTTTGTCTAGACTTTATCTTCAAACTTGTTTCAAATATTCATTCATAATTTCGAACATATATATTCGAAAAGAGAACACTACTTAAAATCTTCTAATGACTTCTGTAATGAGTCGGAAAATCCAGAAATATTTTTGACCAAAAACTTTCGTTTCAACTGTTATTTTAAATCCTAATTTAATTATTTTTGTAGGATTTTGTTGAATGTCTTACATCCATCGAACAATATATATGTCGATTTCAATCATTTAAACAAAAACTTTTTCCTTCAGATCTTAATGATCAAGAGAAAGTTTGTTGAATTCTTTTTCCCATCATTTAAATATAATTTCTTTTGTCCAGGAAGAAATGATTCAACTTATTACAGAATTACATACACGTCCTGAAATATCTGTACAAGGTGCTGCAAATGGTCGACTTGGAAAAAGATTGGTATCTATGTTTACTAAAACAAAATCATCAACAAATCAAGTTTGCTATAAAAATAATTTTCAATATATTTTTTTCTTAAATTTTCTAATATCATTAGGGTAATAACAATGATTCAACAGAAGTTAAAAATCAATTTATGACACCAGCTGGTAAAGAATATATTCTTCGTGCATCAATAGCTCGACCATCTCATTCACGTTCAAGACCATCACCACAACGAATGTATTGCATGTTAGCACAAGATGAATTTCGATTATGTGGAGCTTTCTCTGAAGATACAACATTTTTTTAAAAAAATAAATAAAATTTTCAAATGTATTATTTTATGGTGCCTGTGTTTTTCTTTCGTTTTATAAGCTTTTCTTTTTTTCTTTCTGCAATATAACAATCGATATACTCTCAAATTGTATAATCAGTAGTGTTGTCTTAAAGAATAGTTAACTATAAAGTTGTTGTTATAATTAAAAATTATTTATTTTTAACTTATTAATATAATAATTATTATTTGGCGTGAGGAGTATTAATAAGAATTAAATGTTCATGATTTGACACTGACTAATTATTGAAAGTTAAGATTCAGTAAAACAGATTTATGATGCTTGTTCAAATTTAAATGAAAAGTTTTGAAAATCAAAATTTTAGCAAATTTTTATTTTCAATTATTTAGTGTCGGTGGATAGAGCACATACAGTTACGTATGAAAAACTAGTCCGACTTTTACAAGCAAATTTTACGCTATTGTCATAAATATGTAATTTCACTTTGTAAAATAGTATTAGGATTATCTTCTGAAACTGCAAACAAAATTGATCAAAAGAAAACCTTACATATATTAGATTTTCTTTGGTCAATTTTGTCTGCAGAATCAGGAAATAATTCTTGTAATGTTCTACAAAGTGAAAATTACATATCTGTGATAGTGAATGACTCTAATAATGATACTTGACCTTGTTTCCAAAAATCGAAAAAGTAATTTTTCATAGATAATTTTCGATATGCTCTACCCAATAACACAACATAAATTGAAAACGAAAATTAGCTTAAATTTTGAATTTCCGGCACCTTACTTTAAAATTCAAATATATCGAGTCGTGCACGTCAACAGTAGTCTATATTGTTAATTTTAGTTTGTCAGTGAAAGCTTTAATTTGATCTGAATATGTATAATCATATTGACTAGCAACATAAACAGGTCTATTATTAGCTATTTGAAATGATAATGCTATCATCAATCATCTTCGTTCGCTTTTGAATATGTAATCATTTTCCCATAAAAATTAGTTATTTGTTTTCTTCTGAAATCATTATTTTCTAGAATGTTACTGTTTTCTTAAATTATTAGTGTTATCCACAAATGTGAATATCAGTCTGACTGTATTTGTTGTTTTTCTTTTATTAACTTTATCGAACTATTTCTTCAATAAAATGAAAATTTCATTTTGTATGTTTGAACTTATTCAAAACATTACGTATTCAATAATGACGAATATCTTTTACTTTACTTTTCTCTATTGAAAATACGCCAATCATATGTAACATCTCGTAGAATCGAGAAACATTTTCTGTACTCTCAAATACTTTTTCTTGTTTATCTTTCACAAAGGAAACATTATAAATACCTATGCACGGACTAATCTCTTTCTTTTTTTTTTGTTCTTGTGTTTACATAGACGTCCGCCATCGTCGTCGTCATCATTACTAGTATTCTATATAATAGCATCGAATTATCTGAACTAACCATATGTGTTGTTGATAACACAGAAAACACCAGTCCATAGTGCATTATTACTATCAAAATTTAGAAGAAACTATTTAATCAATAACAATATGAAGTAAAATAAAAATTTGTTTTTCTTGATGAAAATTATTTTATTAATGTTTGATTTATTTTAGTATTTCATCATTACATAATATATTATCTGGATCAACACGTAAACGACCGGTATTTATTAATACAGATAAAGAAAATTTATCAGTAAACATGTAAGTTATAATATGTTGTTTTTGACAAAAAAATATATTTAATCTATTTCAGTGATTCGGATATTCCAACTAAACAAGCACGTGTTGCACTTGGATCGGCCTTAATTGATAATAATGTGTTTAATTCAAGTGAATAGTTGTTTTTTTTTTCTTAAATCATATCAGCGATTATTTTTTTGTTTATTTTTAAGTACCATATTCACCACCAGAAGATTTCATTATCAAAACTGTAGATCGTAAGTCTTATCAAATAACTTTGTATGTTTAATATAAATTTTTTTTTATAGCTTGGTCTTCGATTGATTCTGATCAAGTTCATTTAACACCAGCACATGAACGTCGAGCTAGTAGTAAGAAAAACGATCATTCTTAGAAAATTTTTTTTTTTAATATATTTATTTTAATTAAGATCGTTCAGAAACTCGTTATAAAAATGGTTCATTTCGTCAAGTATTAAAATGGGTTCGATCATTAGGACAATATGGTGATGGAAATAATGCATTTCGTGAACCAAATAGTGTTGGATGGCTTGAATGCGGAAAATTAGCTGTTGTTGATACAAATGCTCATTGTATAAAAGTTTTCGATAGTGAAACAGGTCAATTTGAATATTCATTTGGTCGTGGTCGAACATTAGGTTGTCAAAATTTACTTTATCCATATCGTATAGCTGTTGTACCTGGTGGTGATGATCAATTAGTTGTTATTCAACGTCATCCTCGACCACAAATTCATATATTTAGTTGTAAAGGTGAATTTATTCGTCGATTTGGTCAACATTTAGAAAAACCACGTGCATTAACTGTTGATCAATCACATCGTATTCTTGTTATTGAATCACAATTACAAAAATTACATATATTTTCATTAGATGGAAAAATTCTATCTGTATTTAATTTAAGTGAACAATTACAATTTCCAACATCAATATGTTCAAATAATCATGAAATATTTATATCTGATAATCATCTTCATACAGTTAAAGTTTTTTCATATAATGGACAATTAATACGTGAAATAAAAGAAACAAATTATATAACATATCCAACAAATATTAAATTAAATTCTAAAGGACAATTAATAACAATTGATAATCATCAAGGTTTAAATATAACGATTTATGATGAACATCAACAAAAAAACCGTTTAGGTGCATATACAGCTCGAATTTGTCATTCACAAATTCTTGATGTTGCTATTCAACCAAAACAAAATATTCTTCATTTAGCTTCAAAAGACTATCGAGTTTATACTTATCAACTTCCATTATAAATATAGATGAATATTTAAAATGATGTGTCCGAGCATTGCTATGTATTGTTGTTTCTTTTTTTTCGTTTATATTGGTTATGTTTTTCTTTCTTTTCGATTTTCGAGTTTTCTATTTTTCTTTTTTTCGTTTCAATATTTTGTAAGTCCGTATACCGGTGCAAAGTTTTCCTTTTTCTTTTTTTATTCGTATCCAAAAGATTATCTAGTATATATCGCTCGTTAATTTAATAATAACATATTTTTAATAAAGTTTATTTGAAGAAAAGAAAATTGATTATAACAACAAAACAAATCTTATTAAAAGGAAAATCTATTCAATTCAAATTTTATGAAAAAAATATTTCGTCTAAAACGTATCAATTAGATATAAAAAATACTTCAGACATTATGCATCATTTAATTAAAGTCTTTAACAGTGATTTTTTATTAGAATTGTTCTCTTCTACTTTTCAACGACATATTCTTTATGCCTACCATTTGAATGTCAAAGATCTACTGCTGAGACACAACACTGACACTAACAAAAAAAGAATTGACAAAGGAAGTTATCCAAGTGTGAACCGCCAACCGAGCTGATGTTCTTTCTAAAGATAGGATTCAATGAAACTAGAAGAAGTTTAGAAGAGTTCATATCCATGCGCTCTCATTAGCATTTCACTGAATGTTTTTTTCACCTCTGACATAAATCTTTTTCGGCTGAAATTTTTAAAGTATCCTAATGACTATCAGTTGAATCCGTGAAGAAAATTTAAGATTTTCAAGTTCTTCATGAACATCTTGTCCGATATTGAAAAAAAATCAGTCAAGCGCTAATGGCAGCGCATGAAAATGAATCCTTCTGGGCTTCTACTTATTTCATCAAGTCCTAATTATTGGAAAAAAAATATATATATATCAACTCGATCGATGTTTCATATATAGAGACCTTCTCATGTAATACACATAACTTATTTTCACAAATTCTTATTAATCAGCCATAAACTTTAATATCATTTATCTAATTTTATTTTATTGATTTTTTTCGAAAATCTACTATTTTTTTTACAATTCATATAAATTCTCTTGAACATTATCGATATTATATAGCGAAATTCGAACAGGAGTTTCAGTTGTTCATTATCATAATCTAATCAAACTTGTTTTTATTTTCGGAATATTCCTTTAAAGATTTATGAACTTCCTAAAACTACATATCTGATTTGATTAAAATTATTCTATATATTATATATATAAGAATGTAATCCGATCGATGTAAGTAATCGGAACTGAACTAATCCATCTATAAACGACATCTATATATAGGAATCTATGATTAGTCAATGTCATGACTATTGTAAAATAAAATAATCAACTATCATTCGTTCGTTGATGAAACAAGCAAGAAAGAACAAATGTAATTCAAGCAAGCAAATTATGGTTGACTACTAAATCGAATAATAATTTCGATAAATATAATCATTTACTTTTTCGTATTCTAGATTGGTTCTTTCTTTTTTTGTATCATGTAGTATTAAACATTTTATTTCATATAAATATTGTCCAATGATAATCAATCAAGTACCACCATCAACGTCACAACAAACAAGTATATACTTTTAACTATCTATTTCTTCTATGAAATCAAAATCATTTTCTTCTAGTGTATATGTCAAATTCTGGTTCAATAGATAATCAAATGATAACAATGAATAGTTCACAATTAAATTTATTTAATCATCAAATAAGTGCATATAAATATCTTATACGTAATCAACCTATACCAGAACAACATCTTATTGTTATAAAACGGCATCAACAACAATATTATTCATCTAAACAATTATCAAATTCTTCTTCATCATCTCTAAATGATTCATCTCGTTATAAATCTTCACCTATAAATGGTAATATACCATCACGTTATTATCCACCAATGCCAATAAATTATCAAAATCAATCTGTACCACCAATTCCATCAATACCTGATAATGTAACAAATACAAATTATTCATCATCAACACGTATAAATAATCATCGTTTAACAGCAATAACAAAACCTATTGGTATTGATGTACAAGAAGTTCATAATGAACGTGATAATCGTATACAAAGTAATATTTTAATACGTATAAATGAATTAGAAAAACTTTTACAAATTATAACACAAGATAATTATCGTACACGTATAATGATTGAATTAAAAGCATTAAAATTATTAAATTTTCAAAGACAATTACGTTCAGAAATTGTAACATGTATGCGTTTAGATACAAATCTTGAAACAGGTACAAATCCACGGTTATATAAACGTCCAAAACAATTTGGTTTACGTGAAGCACGTACAACTGAAAAATTAGAAAAACAACAAAAAGCTGAAATTGATCGTAAACGTCGACAAAAACATCAAGAATATTTAACAGCTATTCTAACAGTTGCACGTGAATTTAAAGAATATCATAAAACAATACAATTAAAAACAAATAAATTAGCACGTTCAATTGTATCATGGCATCAAAATACTGAACGTGAACAAAAAAAAGAACAAGAAAAACGTGAACGTGAACGTATGCGCCGTTTAATGAATGAAGATGAAGATGGTTATAGAAAATTAATTGATGAAAAAAAAGATAAACGTTTAGCTTATTTATTATCACAAACAGGAGCATAAATAATAAGTTTA